AAATCCCGTTTCTGCATGGGATTTCCCCTGTGTGATAAGGTCCTATGTGTGGTAGCAGAAAGGAGCAATAGTAAATATGGGAAGCTTGTGTCCATACAGACACGTTCCAGTTGAGGCTGAAATCCTGAGGGCTTCATGTGTTACACTTTTGAAAAATAGGTTGAGCCTCTTGCACAATGCTCTTCCTGGGGACACAAATCCAAATGAGTAATACATGACACTGACTCCCTGACAGGCTCATAAATTGCAGGAGTTTGGAAAACCATCAGGATTGACATGGAACCAGGAGCATGTATTCCCCAATGCATTTATTAGAGCACTGCTTTTCTGTCCTGCTCTTTGCGCATACAATCCAGCATGGGTTATTAGTTTGTTTCTGAAAAACCTGCACAAGAAGTAACTGTGGGAGGGGGGAGAGAAACCCAGTCAAACTACACACTAGTACTATAAAACAGAAATGAAGCAAAGATACAAGTCTTAGCAACTGGAGTCTGGGACATTTGATAGTCTAAACCTTCAAAGGACCTTATCACACGGGGGCTGAAGCAGTCGCATTCTCGTCCCTTCGCGCTTCCTTACCCAGAAAGCAGCATCATCCCAGCATCATTCAGTTCGCGGGAAATGTAATTCCCATTTCGACCAGGCATTCAAAAGAACAGGGATGATGCCTGGATGATGCAGCATCATGCTGCATTGGGACGGGGATGCGAGCGGCTTACCTGCGACATCGTTTGTTCAGTCGGGGACAGGAAGCGCGATCGCACGGGGATGCGACCAGGATGCGACGGGGATGGGCGGGGTTTCCCTGAGATATCGTCTGATCAGCCGGGATAAGGAAGCGCGATCGCACGGGGATGCGAGTGCTTTAGACCCCCGTGTGATAAGGTCCATTGAGCCTCTGCATGCACCCTCATTTTAGTACTTCTCTCCAGATGCTTCGAACACACCGAAACATGTGCATTAATTCCCTCCCTGTAAACTCCATTTTGCAAGTGAGGAGAAGCAAAGTAAGCAACCAGAAACCTACAGTTACTCTTGTTTGCTCCAAATATAAAAACACTGCTTTTGAGTCTGTAAGCTGTAAAGCCTGTAAAACAATGAAATAACAGAGGCAGAGCACTACCCACTCTCCATTAACCAGCTCTTTCTCTCCTTAGGCATTTGAAAAAGACTGGCTCCAAAGTAAAAAGATGTGCCTTAAGCAGATTAATAGTGAGGAGTCAGAACTCAAAACTGCCTTGCTTCTACATTTGCCTCTACACTCACTACTTATCACCTGAAGAAGGATAAGCACATGGGAAAGAAGAAATGGGACCAAGCCTGGCTCTGAAACCAGTTTTCCATCCTTCTCAGTCTAAGGGAAGCACAGGGTTCTCCAAGAAGACAGACAGCCTGCCGGCCACCGTGTCCAAGTCATTGGTATTGGCGTACTTCAGCAGGTTTGTGTCCTTGATGAAGTAGTGCTTCAGGAAGTGCTGGCTCACACATTTGTGCAACTTC